GACCCCAAGATCATGACCTGAGCTGAAACCAAGAGTGGGATGCTCAACCACCCAGGTGCCCCGTGTTTTTGTATTTTTTGGGCAGTCCCCTATTTTCATTAGAACACTTAGAGGCTATTGCCTTTCACTAACAGTTCAGAAGCAATTGTTATAAAACCACAGCGTGAATCAAGACAGCTGCATCCAAAGTAAGCCCGTACTTCAAGGACAATAAACTGGCAGCATTTGTTACCAATGATAAAATCCAAGCTTTCAAGCCCCAGATCCATCACTTTTTAGCAAATTATTTAACTCTCTAACATCTTACCTGAAAAGTCAGGATGGGGATAGTACTTACCCCATAGGGTGGATACAAGCATTAAATAAGATAACATTATTTATATAGTGTCTAGTGTGTGTTAAGTGTTCAATGAATGTTGGCTTCTAATACAGCTACCTCAAGTTAAAACAGTTTTGTTTTTCATTTTTTATTTAACCACATATGTGCATCAACGTCATGAAGAATGTTTAATCTGGGCCCCACGTAATATTCCCTAAAGATTAAATTAATTCATAGTTCTTTGATAACAGGGCAACAGTGAAATGACATCAGGGCTATAGTGAAATAGTGGAAGGCATTAAAATATTGAGTTTTAGGGGCACCTGGGTGGCTCAGTCATTTAAGTGTCTGCCTTGGCCTCAGGTCATGATCCCAGGGTACTGGGATCGAGCCCCGCATCAGGATCCTTGCTCATCGGGGAGCCTGCTTCTCCTGCTCCCTCTGCCTGCCGCTCCCCGTGCTTGTGCTCTCTCTTTCTCTCTCAAATAAATAAATAAATAAATAAATAAAATCTTTAAAAAAATATTGAGCTTTAAGCAAAAATTCTCATTTCTACAGTTTTCCCTAAGGAAATAAATAGGACCAGTTTGCACTGGGTTAAAAATACACAGAATAACACAAAATATTGTAAAAGTGCTTCCCAAAGCTTACTACTTGAAAGCAGTTTATCAGTACTAATGCTAAGGTACACAAAGCCATCTGTGTCCCTGACATCCTGAAAGTTATATTCACAGAATGATGTCTTGACCATAATGCCATTAGCATGACACCTCATCTGTAAAGTCAGATGATTTTCCAAATTGAAGCACTTCTACCAAAGCTTTGGATAGGAATTAATGGGAATTCAGGTTATGTCACACTTTGGGCACAGGCAGGCTATGAAAAGCACAGAATGGAAAAAGAAGCCAAAATAGATTGGATAATAGCAAGATAACGATCAAGAGATTGGAAAAAAAAAAGAGAGAAAGGAAAGAAATGTACCAGAAAAGGTTGTGAAAACTGTAGGAGCCTGTTAGTGGGACATAATGAGGCTCTCTAAAGGACATTTTTACACTATCCAAATACTTTTCCATTTTCAGCCATGACTGAGCCCCGGTCTTGTACATCAGTACAGTTCTTATGTCTTGTGGGTGAACTACCGAAGTCCAGAGAACCTTTCCCAATCCTTTTGATCACTGGCCTGATCCTGTGAGATCCCTTATCTGTCCTGTGGAAAGTATTTCTCTAGAAATAGTGACTGAACTGCCTTCTTCATGAACAAAGAGGTAACATTCACACCACATTCAAAGGGCTAACTAGATCGACCCTTGCCGCTTTTCCTTTCGGATCAGATAGTACACTTTCCCCAAACATGTCTTCCACTCAGACGGTGGTCAGTGCTATTAACTGCGACTTCAAACTATTTTGCAAATGAGCAAGAAATTGCCCTGGCTTTGGGGAGTGGGGTAAGCTGGTGTTGCTGTTCTTGGGGAGAGGGGAGCAGCTACAATGGAGTTAGGAGCATCTGATTAGGCTCATAATTAACCTGAACTGTCCTGCGGGGAACAGCTACAGGCAGCAGCAACATGCCTGTCAGTTCCAGCCCAAGAATTCCAACTGCTATTTTGGTTGTTATGGAAACTGACCACACTGCCTCCTAAAGAATTCATCATCCCAACCAATACTTGTTTTTCTAAGTCATTATGGGGTATCTAAATGAGTGATGCAGACACAAACAATGGAGGAGCACACACGAAGAAGCCTGGCCATTAGAGAAGACGTCACAGGGAGCTAGAACTTAAACCTGACCTTGGTGCATCATTAGCTGGGGGAGAAGACATTTCAAGTGATAGGACTGGCAGAAGTGAGGGAAGTTGAAGAGATAATGATAACGCAGGTGGGGTTGGAAACAGAGACTCACGGGGGGGTTGGAGTGGGAAATGAGAAGGCATGTGGAGGCCAGCGGGGAGAATGCTTTGAAGGACAGTCTAAGGATTTTGCACCTTTCTGCGGACAAAAGGGAACGAGGATACTTTAAAGCAGGGGGACGGTGCTTTAGGAATACTGATTTTTATTTTCAGGCTAACAGCGAGGATGGCAACCTAGTTTCTGGCTAATGCCACAATCCCACGTGTCTTGGTAGATGTCAAGACAATAATTTGAAAAGTTAAAAGTTCAACTATCTTCTCATATAGGCAACACCACACTTGTTTCACTGAAATCGATGGATTCTTGTTGATTAGGGCTCATCAAAACTGCCATGGGTGTGTCCATGACATCCTGAGTATTTTTACGAGCTTCGAACTGACCTGCAATAATACAGCTCCAAAATACCACTCCACCATCTGTCAAGGAAGTATTTACAACTAAGGCGTTAATTTTCAAGCAGAGTCCAGTAAATACCCTAGAAGAAGAACAATCATTTTTCCTCATATCACAGTGGTTTTGTACCTTCTACTGCCCAAACAGTAGGCGGAAATCTTTACTTGAATAGTAACTGGCCAATAAATTAAAATACAGGAGAGTTTGGTTAATATAAGAAAAACCTGTATTCAGAGCAACAGTTCTTGGAATGTAGTCTGTGGACCCTTGGGGGTCTCAAGCTTTGTCTGATGCCAAAGATTTTATATTGTGCTATTTGACTTTGTGAAGGGCCCAGGTCTTGGTAACAGGTGAGCCAAGATCTTTAGTCATACGTAGACAGATAGAAGTGATACTTGAAAATACATTTCAAAATTTAATAGTGAGTGTTAAACCGGGTAAACCTGAAATAAAATTATTGCTAGAGAAAATAATAACCACAAAACATGCTGTAGTATTTTTAGAAGCTTTTTTTTTTGGACCACATTATTAAAAACACAGATTTCCATGTGATAATGAAGGCTCATTCTTTGTTTACTGAACATCAGGTTTAAAGAGCCTCTCCTTTTCCCAATTTGGCCCCTAAGATAAGAGCTGAACAGAACGTATAATTCATTGTGTATGGCCTTGATGCCGAGAAGAGTGATTAAAGTATATGTGGAAAGGGGAATTTTCTTTACTATTTCGATGATGAGTTTCTCTTCAGTTAAGGAGTAGACATAATGTACTTTTACTTTCTGAAAAGAATGTAAAAAGTGTGGCAAGAGTTCATCCAGTTCCCATGGCTCAGGTCAATGAGAGGCAAGCAGGTCAGAGACAGAACTCAGGTTGGGCTCCAGAATTCTCACGACTCAAAACAGGCTGTTTTCTTTGGCTGGAATTCTTCCTCCTCTCACCTGTTAATCCTCCCAGTTGCTCCACCTCCTCCTTTAGTTCCCTGCCTAAACGTCACCTCTGTTGAGAACCCCTTGCCTGATCACTCCGATCACCCACGTCTACCCCAGACACTCAACCCAGGTTGTTTTGTTTCAGCTCTTTGTTTCCTTCCTAAGTGTGTGATAGTAATTCGATGAGTTCTTCTTTCCATCTAGGACGGAAGCTCGTGATCCCTGCTCACTGCCCACATGGGTCCAATACTCAGTAAGTATTGGGTGGATGACTGAATGTGGGAGACAGCCCAGGGACACAACCCACACAACTGAGTGGTGCAGTAGGGAGAGGCCTGGGATGGGGAGCTGCAGCCCTGGTCTCCCCTCTGCCACCAGTTGGTTGAAGGACCTTGATCAAACCTCTTAAATTCTCTGGCACTCAGTTTCCTCATCTGACAAGGAGGGAGATTTAGTGAGAGATTTCCAAAGCAACATCCCGACTTACGGTGCAAGATTCTAAGTTTATTCAATTATATTTCTTGGGTGCTGATAACCATTCTTTTTCCCACTCATTGAGGAGGTGTGGACCTTTTCATTATTTCTGAATATGAATAGACATTTTTTTTAAAAAAATGGAAAGGTAGGTGTATTAACTTTTCTACAGACTTGAATCATTTGGGGGAAAAGTACCAAGTTTGGGAGGTGCTCTGACAACATTTTGTGCTTTTCTGCGCAATTATAACTGCTGCTCAAATAGCCCCATTGATTTCCATGGGGGAAAACATGACATCTGGCTCTCATATTCGTTAGCTATGTGACCTTGGACCAGTTCCTTTACCTTCCTGAGCCTCAGTTTCCTTATCTGTGTAATAGATATGTCATAAAGATAGACCACCAACCTACAAGACTGTGGAAGGATTAAATGAGATGACCTGGAACACAGTAGGTGCTTAGAAAATGCTGGTGAACCCCAAGTGAATTTTATCCCACACTTAATTTACCAGCGACTTTCATAGTATGGGGCATAAAATAAGTGAAATAGTTTTTACCATTAGCTAAAAGGAATGCAGGGTATGGTTATGGAAGTATATTGGAATATGTGGTTGCTGATATATTTAGCAGTGAGGTTTAGGGAGCAGTGGCTCATTGTTCAAACAGAAACTGTGTGTGTTAGATTTTGATGTATGACATCTTCATACCCATGGGATTATAATGTATTTTATTACCGTAGAGCTAAACTCAGAAGTCTGACATTCCTTAGAGTCCTACTTTGTCTATGCTGTAAAGATACAAAGCCAAAAACAATATGAAACTGCATTAACAAAAGCAACAATCCAGAAGCCTCGGGGGTATTATCCTAACCAAAAAAGGGGCAAGACTTCAAAGCAGAGTGAGAAATGAACAGTCTTTTTTCTCTACCAAGTTGTTTATTATTAACAGTTGCATTAGAAAACTTGAGGGCGGTTACTCACCAATCATGAAAATAATTTTACGCTTTCTCAAATCTTCCATGAAACCTTTAAAGTAAGAATAATTTAAGTTACTGGCAAGAAAAACTGTTTTGAAACCCTGGTATTACTCATGCTGTGTAAAAACCAAAATCTTGTAGTTTTATTTGGTAAGAAGCCCAAGCTAAGTAAATGTGTTAATAGGTCATAATAGGCACTGATGACCATATCAGCCTTATTACCAGACCCAGGTAACCTATTTCATTTTAACACAAACTATCAATTTTATGTGGCAAAACTGATAAGCCATTAAATAGCATGAATTACAAAGAAAGATTATTTTTAAAATTATTTAAAAATGTTTCTAAGTATCTCAGTTTTGTGTTATTTTACATTTTTTCCTTAACATTTGTTGATCTCTTTTAATAAAGAGGAGTTAAAGCACAAATAGGGACTCTGGAAGACAATATTTTAAATACAGTTCCTATTTATAGAAAATAATACTATTTTCCATTTAAGGTAGTGAAATAAATGTATTTAAAGAATAAGTGAGCCAACTTAGAGGAAAATATTAAGTAAATAATATCTAGTATAGGTCATATACGTATAGAGATGAAGCAAAAATCACAAAGATGGTGAGAGTAAGGACTGAATTTTGGGAACCACTACTTTATATATTTATTTTTTCTTTCTTTTTTTATATATTTATTTTTTCAACTTTTTATTTAAATTCCAGTTAGATAACATACAGTGTAATATTAGTTTTGGGTGTAGAAATTAGTGATTCATCACTTTCATACAACACCCAGTGCTCATTACAACAAGTGCACTCCTTAATCCCCATCACCCACTTCACCCATCCGCCACCCACCTCCCCTCCAGTATCAATCAGTTTGGTTCTCTATAGTTAAGAGTCTATTTCTTGGTTTGCCTCTCATTTTTATCCCCCTTACGTTTGTTTTGTTTTCTAAATTCCACATATGAGTGAAATAATATTTCACTTAGCATTATACTCTCTAGCTCCATCCATGTCATTGCAAATGGCAAGATTTCATTCTTTTTTATGGCTGAGTAATATTCCATTATATCTATCTATCTATCTATCTATCTATCACCTATCTATTATCTATCTATCTATCTATCTATCTATCTATCTATCTATCTATCTTCTCTATTCATTCATCAGTTGCTGGACATTTGGATTCTTTCCATAATTTGGCTATTGCTGATAATGCTGCTATAAACATCAGGGTGCATGTACCCCTTTGAATATGTATTTTTGTATCCTTTGGGTAAATACCTAGCAGTGCAATTGCTGGATCATAGGGTATAGCTCTATTTTTCACTTTTTGAGGAACCTCCATACTGTTCCAGAGTGGCTGCTCCATTTTGCATTCCCAGCAACAGTTGTAATAGGGGGACTACTACTTCAAAGCAGAGAATTGATTAGAAATTTTTGGCAAAGTGCAAAACCCTCCAGAGTTTGTGGAGCCCTAAAAGATTTCCAATTGTCATGTAGTGTAGTAGGTGGCCATGAAGGATGGGTAGACAATAGCTATACTTTTTCTCCTGTCCTCAACTGACTAGACTTAGGCTAATGACTTCCTCTCCTCGTACTTTGGTTTCTCCATCTGTAAAGTAAAGGTGTTGTAAGTAAAGTAGTGATCTTTAATGTCTCTCTCAGTTCAAATACCTATGATTCTGTGGTTCCTATAAATGAACGGACCACAGGAGGAAACGGTCCCACTTGTCTCTTGGCTAAAATTATGATGCAATTTTTTTTTTTAATTTATTTATTTGAGAGACAGAGAATGAGAGATAGAGAGCATGAGAGGGAAGAGGTTCAGGGGAAGAAGCAGACTCCCTGCTGAGCAGGGAGCCCAATGCGGGACTCGATCCCGGGACTCCAGGATCGTGACCTGAGCCGAAGGCAGTCGCTTAACCAACTGAGCCACCCAGGCGCCCTAAAATTATGATGCAATTATTGTTGCATGTTTAAGATATCTTTTTTTTTAGAGAAGGGGAGGGGCAGAGGGAGAGAGAGAATCTTTTTTTTTTAAGATTTTATTTATTTGAGAGAGAGAATGAGATAGAGAGAGCATGAGAGGGGGGAGGGTCAGAGGGAGAAGCAGACTCCCTGCTGAGCAGCGAGCCTGATGCGGGACTCGATCCCGGGACTCCAGGATCATGACCTGAGCCAAAGGCAGTCGCCCAACAAAGTGAGCCACCCAGGCGCCCGAGAGAGAGAATCTTAAGCAGGCTCCACCCCCATTGCAGAGCCCAACACCGGGCTCCATCTCACGACCCTGAACTGAGATCATGACCTGGGCCAAATCAAGAGTCGACATTTAACTGACTGAGTCACCCAGGAGCCCCGCATGTTTAAGATATCTAAAGTAAACCAAAATTCTAGGAGACCTTGGGTAAGAGTGAGGTTACTTGAAGAGATGACCACAGACCCAAACTTGAATTGGGAATGGCTTTTTGAAAGAGCCAGTGGTTACCATTTGAGCCTGGAAGCAGGGGATCCTCAAACTAAAAAAAAAAAAAAAAAAAATGTTTAGAGTGAGGGCCTCAGAGGACAGAAGAAACAGCTGTCTACCCAAGAATGTTTCAGAGAAGAGCAGAAACAAAAACTCCCCCTGGCTTTAAAGCCATGGGGCTTTCATTATGGAAAATGGGCTGCCTACTCAGCTGTCCCAGGACAGGGTCACAGAGTTTAGGGGCAGACCAACAGCACAGAAGAAGGAGGTTAGTTCAGGATGCTCTGAAGTTCATAGTGGGAATCTGCACAAGCCACTAAGGGAGGTACAGCTCCAACGGAGAGGCCATCCTGAACAATTGATGGTGAAAACCTGAAGAAGCGGCTCTAGGAGGCTCAGAAGATGTCACCATGTTAGGTCAATCCTGGGACTGGCTCCTGTCTGAGCAGCTTAGTTTAATACCTGCAGGGGTGGTGGTGGGGGCAGCAGGCTGATTCCACAAAGAACTTCAGAAGAGTTTCTTGGATGTGCTTAGGTAAAGGCCAGGCAAAGATTCTAAACCAGTGAGGTGGGTGGGCATAGAGTGTTGTGAACTATGGCTAACAAGCGCTAACATCTACAGTCAAATTTTTAGAGCACCATGCTGGACAAACAAAATAGATCTGAGACTAAATGCTTCCCTCAGCTGGACATATGTGACTGCAGATGGAGTAACTGAAGATAATTTTGAAGACTTTATAATTCTTGTTAACCCCTATGCTAAGGGAGGTGCTTTTCAAACTACAATATACGCTGAACAGACAGTAATACATTAGGATGTAGGATATCGTGATTTTTCGCTTCATGGAAAATATGCATGAAGTTTTAAAGTAAAGATTCTGAAGTTCAAAGGTATTTGGTGCTTTTGTTGGAACCCCGGGCCCCTGAGCTGTGCATTTCAGACCCTGGGCTGTAGAAGTTCCTGGAGCAGCCTCTCAGTGGGGAGACCCAGGAGGGAGGGGCATGCCTGGGTGGAGCCAGCCCTGAGTTCTCCGTCTAGGTGGAGCTCTGGACTCTTCTGGCTCTGGAAGCAGCTGCTTTTGCTCATCCTATGGGTGTGAGTTGACTAAAATGACAGAGGGAATGTGATTACCCGGAGAGAGAGTACAAGGTTTTTATTTCCCATCTTGGTGACAAACTGCAGTCTTTACACTTAAAATGAACTGATAGGACTCTGACTTCCATTTCACATTTTATGTAGATGGTAAGTACTTCTGAAAGCTAGATTGCTCCTCTGACAGTTATCAAACTTGCTTTTCAGTAGAATTGGGATGCTTCATTTATATACACAATGCCACCTTTTTGCTGGAATTCACTATTAGCTGAGGGAAAGACCCAATTCCAGAGAGAGAATGGCACAAGAAGAATTGGGTTGGGAACAAGAGGGGAAGGGGACAGGGAAGCTAAAATCAGAGGAAAGATTTGAATTTGGGGTTTTTGGAAACATTTGGTTTTCAGACTGAGGGATGAAATTTTTTTATTCTTTCTAATCAAAGAGATGCTGCAGTATCTTTACAGAACAGCCTACAGTGACTGGAAAAATCCTATGTTATCTGGAGCTTTCTATTAAAGGCACATACATTGGTGCTTTTAACTCATGGACCAGATGGTCATCTCATGTTCTCTAGACTTCCAGCTTCCTTTTTTGAAGCTGAGCAACGATTTAAAAAAAAAAAAATCCCATATGGTTAACGTACAGGGTTATATTAGTTTCAGGTGTACAATATAGTGATTCAGCAATTCTATATGAAGCAGAGCAACTTTTAATTTATTTGCAATCTAAGAAAGTGTCTGTGGTTATTATTAGGTATAGTTGTACCTATGATGAAACATTTATACGGTGTAGTCATCACAAGTTAATGTTATAGAGTTTGTAATGACATGAGAATATTCTTATATTATGATATACACAAAAATAACATTTGTATATACACATGTATTCTCCACTATGTAAAAACAGGTATATAGCAAACACACTGGAATAAAATATACTAGAATGTTAACCATGATTATTTAGAGGTCATAAGATTTTAGATAGCTCTTATTTTCTACCTTAAAAAGATTTCCACAATGAATGCATGTAATCTTACAACCAGGAAAAAGGGAAACTTTATTAAACAATCAATCAATCCCTATCCAGTTGAGACTAGGTTGATTATTTGCACTTGGCTCATGTGTATGTGCCTTTCCTCATGAATCACCATGATGTCATTTGGTAACTGAGATTTTCACATACTGCTATAGCCATTATCATCAAATGGCACTTTATCTACCACCTCATGCTCATGGATCAGTGTAGAATTAGAGCTGGGGTTATCTGGAAAGCCAGCTCACTTACTTGTATGTGCTCACAGTCAATACAAACATATTTTCATGAACCATAATCACAGCAACATTTATTACCGAGTGGAAATGTTAGAAGGTACTTTACCTAGGGCAATCAGGAACCTTACCTCTTTTGGACAATCTCAAATTCATAGTTTTATCTACTTTCAGTTCCATTTGTAGCTAGTTAACACTGGATTTTTTAGTTGTTGCAAGACTTTTGACATGACAACAGTTATAAAGCAGGATAATTTGGGTGTTTCTTAGGTTGCATCCCAACAGCACACTGCAGATTAGTAACTACTATGCAGGAAAAAGACTTCTGAATTCCAACAAATCTGAAGAATGTTAAATTAAAGTTAGCCAGCTGTCTTTATTGCAAGACTTGTGGGAGTCTTGCTATGCTGTTACGTGTACCTCTTCCAAAGGGGATTGAGTGTTCAGTGTTTCCCAGACATATTTTTCCCAGAACATTCTGTTTTCACTGAGCATGTCGAGGGTCATGTTCTCTGGGTAGTCAGGAAATGCTTCTCTAAGTAAGGTGTCCCTTTGGTTCTTTGCATGGACCAAGAGGGGAAAGATCCCAAGAGTTCCAATCTGAATCGTGGAGCCTGGCTAAGGGAAAAGTATATGCTGTTTGTAGTTTATTGTCTCTCAGTTGGTGTTTAATAAAGAAGACATGCTCAAAGCTACTAAAACACAACTTTGGTCTGATCAGTAAAGGAAACTCACCTCCCATGGTGTCCTCTCCAAATACATTTAACTGGTCATCACCCTGTACATAAAAAAAAAAAATCAAAATATTAGATGACAGTACCAACAGGTATTGTGCTAAATTTCTTGCCAACATGCATTAACATACCTAACCTTCCAAACAACTCTATGAAGGAGGCACTATTACTATCTGCCTTTTATAGAGGAAGAAACTGAGAGTTTGAGAAGTTGCCCATGATCATGTAGCAGTGAGGGACATAGCCCAGATTGAAACCTGAGTTCATGCTGTTCTTGTTGTACCGCTCTGTACAGTATTGCACCTCATTTTCCTGGTTCATGATCGATCTATCCGTGATCAGAAAAGCTGATTTGAAGAAAACAACACTCTTCAGTACCCAAAGCTCACTGATGGGTGTAGTCATGGTGGTTTAACAATCAACTCTGTGGTTTAACACTGGACGTGGCACACTTTCTGTAGAGCGCCAGATAGGAAGTATTTTCAGCATTGTGAGTCATACGGTTAGCCACTGGCCAATCCCTGAAAACTAAAGCATGAAATAAGGGAAATTGGAAGGACCAGCTTTGATTGATGCCCGCTTTTAAATTTATTTTATTTTATTTTTTAATCAAGCAGCGGCTGCATTTTCCTTACAGAAGAACCAGTGGTAGTTGGGGGAAAAAATGTAGGATGAAAATTTATAAAAAGACATTAATAAGAATTCTAATTTCTACTTATGTCTGCATCCATCCCATTTTCCCACTCCCTCATTCCATATAGGTAACCACTCATAGAAGTTTTTTATTTGCATCTTTTTCCAGATACATAAAAAACAACTTCCAGATACCTAAGGATACATTTGAATATAAATATATAATCTTGTTACCTCCATTTTGAATACAGAAAGGAACGCACTTATATTACACATGCATATATGTTCGTAATATACATACTGATCTAGAATGATATTGTTCTTCCCCTTGCTTTTTCACTTATCGATGTACCTGGGAAAACTTTCCATGTCCATCCAGAATGTTCTTGGTTTTACAGTATTCTATTGTATGGAAGCTACCACAGTTGTTCTTTTTAACTAGTCCTTTATTTTATTATTTTATATTTTAAAAAATTTTATTTATTTATTTGACAGAGAGAGACACAACAAGAGAGGGAACACAAGCAGGGGGGGTGGGAGAGGGAGAAGCAGGCTTCCCGCGGAGCAGGGAGCCCAATGCAGGGCTCGATTCCAGGACCCTGGGGCCATGACCTGAGCCAAAGGCAGACGCCTAAGGACTGAACAACCCAGGTGCCCCGAACTAGTCCTTTATTGATGGACCACTGAGTTGTTTCTGATCTTGGATTATTTTGGAAAAAGTAGCACAGCGAATAAGCTCATGTAAAGGTCATTTCATACACATGTGCCCGCAGGATAAATTCACGGAGAAGGGGCTGTGTGGTCAAAGAGTAAATGTATTTAGAACTGATAGATTTTGCCCAACTGCTCTTCATAGAGGTGGTGCCATTTTGCGGGGACAGCTTGTGGCTCACGCTTCACTCCAGCCTCTTGCTTCTAATTTGCTTTGATGTAGGAGTCAGTTAAATGAGGTTGCCTGGTTGCATTAATGCTCCCTTGAGGTTAACTGCTCTGAGAGTACTTGTTTGAAAACAGAGCCTTGCCATCCCTTTTTAGAACCTATGCCTTCAGGGCAACTTTACTGCTTGTCTTCTTAGATTTGCCTGTGTATCCAGAGCTATTCCAGGTGAGAGAAGAGTTTTTAATGGAGTGGTCATTCAGGAACACATTTACATTAATTAACTTCCTTCCATGAATAGGAAAAATGTCAATTATTCCTCAGTGAGGCTACCCCTACTTCTGTTGTTGAAATAATTGCATTTCGGAGCTGGGAATTATAGAGATCATCTAATCCAACCCTGCCACCCCCTCTCCCTTTTTACAGATGAGGAAATTGATGGTTACAGAGGTCATTTGAGGGGCCCATGGCCATAGCATTATGTCTTTAGTGAAGTCAGGGTTAGGATGAGAACCACATCTCCTACCACATAGCATGGCTCCTAGAGATTTAGTCCCATCAGCTTAACTACCACCACGAATCTGTTAGTGTCCTGCTACTACCTGGCTGGTGCACCCATCCCTCAGCTGTTGCTAAGGGCTGAGAGAAGTCTGGCCCCACTCTCAACCTGGGATGACTCTGGTGTAAGTTTCCCTTGAGATCAAGCTGAAGCTAATATCCAGCCGGGATCCCATCCTTCCTTAGCTCCTACCCCTGCCCTATCCTGCATCTCTCTCCCTCTCCTAAGAGCCCTGCCTAATAACTTACTTTTAAAGAATCCTCATTTCAGGTTTTGCTTCTAGGGAAACCCACCTGAGACAGAAACCTGTTCGAAGCAGTTATATGTTTGCCTAAGATGCATCTACATAGAAAGCGGCTCAGTAGCCTCTGCTGGAAAAGAATTGTTCGATCAGACTCTGCTTATTGCTTGTCAAACAGCTGTCGAACATATCCAGGTAGTGTTAGGGAGTCCTCTCCCTTGATTTTTAATATTATTGTTGAAGTATCAGACTTACACCCCTCTTACAGGTTAAACTGATTTAGATCTTTCTTCTGCCTGGCTGTCAGGCTTTAGGAGACTGATCAAGGTTCATGTGAATTCATAAAACAATGCACCATGTTATAAAGGGGCCTGTCTCACCTCTACTTGGATTCTTGAGTCTGACTTGTTTTTATCCATTGCTCTTATTCATAGCCTTCTAGTCTGTTTGCCCAAATGCTTCAAATGAGCTCCAGCTTGATTTCCATGAAAACATTGATAGTGAACAGGTTTTTGGAGCAGAGTGGAGCCGGGAATGGGGCGCACTGCATTCACTGACATGAAGGCCCAGGTAAATGGGATGTTGGATGGGAGGGTGTTATTTTCCAGTGATGCTCAATAAACCTCATGATTCCTATGTGAATCTTTTGTAAACACACTTAATCTGGCATCTTAAACATGCACACGCACGGGCACACACAACAACAACAACAACTAATGGAAGGCCAACTCTTCTGGTTCTGTTTTGGCGAAAAAATTGCCATACAGAGCCTGGAGGCCCTAAGTCTCCTCTCTTTCTTTTCAAATGTGAGGTGTGTTCTGCATGAAAGGCATTCATTCAGAACATCAGTTCTGTAAGAAGCAAAATGCCTCTGTAAGCCTATTTAAGAAATACCTGCTAAGGTGTTTCTATGCAGGTACACTGGGGCTGCCTCTTCAGTGAGGCCGCCCTCGAGAAAGCGCAGCCCGTGAACTCCCGAGCTCCCCCCTAAGTGTCCGTGGGTGCTTCCTTGTGTTACATACAGCCTTTCGCTGTGTTGTCCTCCATGTAGTCAGCTTTCTGTCACCTGTAAGTCTGAATTGTGCGGTTGGGCTTTGTGGGTACAAGGAGACAGAGGTGACTCTAAGTTTTGGGGGCATAACGTGGAATACCAAATCGGAACAAACCAACAGAAATAGTACTAATATTGGCCCAGATTTTATGTAAGCGTCAATTATGACTCACATATATGGAGCCAAGACACAGCCTTGCAATGAGGTGATTAATGCTGGGGAAGATAGGAAAAGCTGCAGCCAAACCACTAACACACAAAACCAAGTTCAGGGAACCACATCTTCTTGGCCTGTATTTATGAGAGTATGTTGGTAACTGAGGAGGAGAAATCAAGAATCCTGTTGAAGTGACATGGCTAGAACCTCAAGACGGGATTTGTGGTTTTATGGGAAACTGGGTTTGGACTATGGATTTGTTGTGGTCTAGATCTCTCATCCTCCAGTCAAGCCAGAGCCATAAGGAGAGCAAAAGCAACTGGCTTTCAACTTTGTTTCCCTATGAGGATGTGCAGGCAAGGAACTGCCTTTGCAAGGCTAGATTCTGGTATAATTGGTAGGAAGGGCAGCTGGCTGGGGTGTGTATACGTTTTCCTTTAGGGTCAGAGCTCCTATCATCACCACCTTGTGATATGGATGTCTGTCACTCCCAATTCCTTGAATTATTGAAATGGGCGGGAGATCAAAATAGAGCAACATCGCCTCCCAGGTGGGTTCACAAATCCTAAGAAAGGACACCCTGCAGCCTGTTCTGACCGCAGCACAATGTGTGCTCCTGGTTGCAGGACCAGTTCTGTGTGGCATTGTCACAAGCAGATCAGGTCATAATGCCAAGTGCCTTCCAGCTCTGGAAGCGTTTCTGCGGATAGAATCTCACTGGACCCTCGCTGCGACCCTGTGCGTGAGGAATGACGTAACTGGAGTTCTGTGTGCCACTGGATGGGGTGTGCCTGGGCCTCCGCTGCTGCCCTCAGGGCCCTGATACCAACCTGTGTTTCCTTCTTAGTATCCTCTCACTGGTCTCGGAGGTGAGGTCATGTCATCAGATATTCCTACCACCCCTCCTTAGGTAGATAGTGTTGATGGGGGGTGGGGGGCGCCTGGGTGGCTCAGTCAGTTATGCATCTGACTTCAGCTTGGGTCATGGTCTTCGGGTCCTGGGATGGAGCCCTGCGTTGGGATCCCTGCTCAGCGGGGAGTCTGCTTTTCTCTCTACCCCCACCCCCATTCATGCACGGGAGCTCTCTCTCTCTCTCTCTCAAATAAATAAATAAATTCTTAAAAAAAAATCCTTTTGGGGACCACGAAATGAAAGCTCCCCTGGGAAGGAGGGAGAAGTACTAGGTCATTTTGGGGGTGTCCTCCTAGTTCTTGTTTGCATTCAACAGCGTGTGTGTGTGTTTCATGGTGTAAAAATGTATAGAGCTTCAAATGGGATTATGAGAAAGAGGCTTTATTTAACAACAGAATGTCACAGCTAAGATGAATTTCTTGCCCTAAAATTCACAAATGCTGCAAAGAAAAGACTTTCTTTTTTTAAAGATTTTATTTATTTATTTGACAGAGAGAGAGAGACACAGTGAGAGAGGGAACACAAGCAGGGGGAGTGGGAGAGGGAGAAGCAGGCTTCCCGCTGAGCAGGGAGCCCGATGCGGGGCTCGATCCCAGGACCCTGGGATCATGAC